ATCTTCGTAACTTTTTCGGGCGTTGTGCTCGAAGATGGTCGTCCAGAACGCTCGTCATCATCGACAGGGGTTCGGCCATTTTTAAAACGTGAATGCCACACAAAAGTTTGCGGACTCCCCAAATGTTTGCTTTAGCATTTCATAGGTTTCCGTAGCGGTTTTGGCGAGTCTTTGGCAAAATTTGATGCACACGCGCCATTCCGAAATCGCAGGAGGGTCGGTGTAATGCACTACCAAAACGCCCGTAACTAAGAAACAAATGCTAATTCGATGATGCCGGCTGGCACACTGATTCACTATGAATGTAGGCCGCACCCCCTAGCGGCAGAAGCTCGTACTACATCCGGTTCGCCCTCTATTGACACAGTCTTGAAACTTTCCGATCGTACCTCGTATAATGACCTAAGTTGCTTGCTTGATGCCTCATAGGTTTAGATACATTCAGTCATTGTTCCCCTCTCAAAGATATAATTTTCAGCTTCCATATAAAGCCTGTGTTACTCATTTTAATTATGTTTCCTACATAATACGTGTGCAATTCTAAGTTTAATACAATGTAATGTATAATGCATTTTGGATTCTTCTTCAGGCTCTGCAATTACTCTGAGGTATGAGGCAAAGGACGACAACGGAGTGAACGGTCATGTCCCACATAATAAACGGACCACCTCTTTTTTTGGTGCCGGGAGACGCTGCAATGTCTGTAAAGATAAAAAATATGAGAAGGTAAATTTTTTATATAATTGACTTCCAAGAGCAGAATATAAATCTAGTCCACATCCTCACACCCCATTCATTGAAGAGCCATTTCAATATTACTTTCCCACTTGTTCAAAGTTCTCCGAAGTTCCTTCAGTTTATCCCCAATCATGCATTTTGCTGCGATCTCACCCTTCTTGATTTAATCACATTTTCTTTGCTTGCATATCCTGAACAGAGTCTTTAGCCCAAGTATTCATTTGGGGACCCTGTCACCAGAGCAGTCACTTCACACAGTTTACTCATTTAATCGAAACGTATCTCAACACGTAACTTACAATACATTATGTACATACACACGCGTACAAGCATAATGCTGAGGTGGTTAACATGAACTCTGTATTTCAGTACAAACTGCATCATCTTACCGTTTCTTTTCCCAGAGCACATAAAATTAATGCATAATGGGGCAGTAATATCTGCTAAATGATCCTTTATTAAATTTAGGCATAGGAGTCTACCCCAAAAGTTATGGAGGAAATTTACTTCCAATTCAAATCAATTTAACACAAGTTCATGCTGTGAAGCTCCTTGTATTACATTTCCATCATTTTATGTTACTTCATATTGCTTAAATTAAAATGTGTCTGTACTTATTCCTCTTGTTCCACGGACTAATTCAGAGCTGAGCGAACTTGAATATTTTCTTGTAAATTGTCTTTTTGGTATCAGAGCATTTATGTGTCATATTTAATGAGTCCTGGTTGTAACGATACGATCACGTAACTGATTTTTGTTGTAAGCTGTGTTTTGTATTGCATATTCTGGCAAAGACCTACAAACGTGGTTTTTAAAGAAAATATGATTGAAAAAGTCCTGATAATGAATAACTTTAAATGCAATCTACCTTTGTCAGAACCCTTTAGAACTGAATTAAGACCTACAAAACTGTCTTAACTACCATCAGCATACATTCATTGCTTTGTCCAGGATTTTCTCTTGAATTTGAAAACAAATGAAAATTGCAGATTTAGGCCCACAGGATGCTAAATTGTGTAACCAGCGATGAGGGAGAGGCTTCCAGTCATATAAACAAACACCATTAATAATATCATTCAGTAACAATCAAATATGTTTGGGGTGGGGGATAAATTGAAGAGAGTTGAGACTTTGATAACTAGCGTCCGGTCCAAACTTGTTCCTTTACACATTATATTTCTACAGTCTTTCGATTACAAAGAATTTTTAATGTACTCTCTGGGTACTATCCCTTTAGTCCTAGAATAAATGCGGAAACTGTGTTTGTATTGCATAGAAACTTTCCGATCGTACCTCGTATAATGACCTAAGTTGCTTGCTTGATGCCTCATAGGTTTAGATACATTCAGTCATTGTTCCCCTCTCAAAGATATAATTTTCAGCTTCCATATAAAGCCTGTGTTACTCATTTTAATTATGTTTCCTACATAATACGTGTGCAATTCTAAGTTTAATACAATGTAATGTATAATGCATTTTGGATTCTTCTTCAGGCTCTGCAATTACTCTGAGGTATGAGGCAAAGGACGACAACGGAGTGAACGGTCATGTCCCACATAATAAACGGACCACCTCTTTTTTTGGTGCCGGGAGACGCTGCAATGTCTGTAAAGATAAAAAATATGAGAAGGTAAATTTTTTATATAATTGACTTCCAATCTCCGAGGTATGAGGCAAAGGACAACAAAGGAAAGCGTCAAGTCCCATATAATAAACAGAAGACTTCCAGGTTTGATGCGAGGCCATGCAAAATCCACGGTGAAGTTGGAGGAACGTCCAGGGTAACTTTCTTTACTTAATTTACTTCCTGGAGTAGATTCCTGTTTGAAAGGATGATAATTCATTACCATGTTCACAAAAGCATACCACTGGACCTTATACTGAGCGGGATAAATCCACTCCACATCATCACACCCCATTCATTGAAGAGCCATTTCAATATTACTTTCCCACTTGTTCAAAGTTCTCCGAAGTTCCTTCAGTTTATCCCCAATCATGCATTTTGCTGCGATCTCACCCTTCTTGATTTAATCACATTTTCTTTGCTTGCATATCCTGAACAGAGTCTTTAGCCCAAGTATTCATTTGGGGACCCTGTCACCAGAGCAGTCACTTCACACAGTTTACTCATTTAATCGAAACGTATCTCAACACGTAACTTACAATACATTATGTACATACACACGCGTACAAGCATAATGCTGAGGTGGTTAAGATGAACTCTGTATTTCAGTACAAACTGTATCATCTTACCGTTTCTTTTCCCAGAGCACATAAAATTAATGCATAATGGGACAGTAATATCTGCTAAATGATCCTTTATTAAATTTAGGCATAGGAGTCTACCCCAAAAGTTATGGAGGAAATTTACTTCCAATTCAAATCAAATTAACACAAGTTCATGCTGTGAAGCTCCTTGTATTACATTTCCATCATTTTATGTTCTTCATATTGCAGAGCTTCAAATGTGTCTGTACTTATTCCTCTTGTTCCACGGACTAATTCAGAGCTGAGCGAACTTGAATATTTTCTTGTAAATTGTCTTTTTGGTATCAGAGCGTTTATGTGTCATATTTAATGAGTCCTGATTGTAATGATACGATCACGTAACTGATTTTTGTTGTAAGCTGTGTTTTGTATTGCAGAATCTGGTTAAGACCATCAAAGCTCATTGCATTTTCCTGTATATTTTCTTGAATTTTAAAAGAAATGCAAAATGTAGATTTAGGCCCACAGGATGCTAAACAGCGGTTGAGACAGTGTCAAATATTTCCAAATTGTAATTGCATGTTAATTATTTGTAGCACATTCGTTTCCTTACCTCTAAATATACGCACCTGATTCAGTATCATTTAGTAACGTCAGAACTAGGCAGAAATTTAGGTTGACTGTCATATTACACTTTAGTGCAATCAGCATTGAATCAAAATACCATTAAATCCATCTCTGGTGGAAACTGCAATGAACAGAAGATGTCCTTAGAGGATAAGTGTCCTCTTCCAAGGGAAGAACAGTGACATTATGAATGACAAAGACATAATATTGAACAGTCTACTGGATTAATTATTATTTTCTGCTCACGCTATAGTTCCATCAAGTTATCTGGAAAAAATAGTTGTCACAAATCAGAAGACTCCCAGAAAGAAACTGAAATAAAATAAATGCATTTCTCAGTAAACAAGTTGTACATACATATGCGGTATGAACTTATGTTGGTCATGTGGATTCATGTTTACTTATCTAGAAATGGTGTTAAAAGGAATTGACATGGAATTGGAGAAAAAATCACTGGTCCCTTTGGATATCAGGGAATGTGGTTCTCCCTAACCTATAATCCTGTTTCTTTCAGGAAAGAAATAGAAGATGGCTGGAAAATATAACATGGAGTGGAATGATATCAGGTTCACGATTTGCACCTTATGTGTCACCATACGCACAAGTAGGCAGGAGGACTGCTCCTTCTGCTTCAAAATTAAGAACACAAATTTTCATGAAGGATTATAAGAATCGGCTGAATCACATGGAAACAGAGTTCCTAATCAAAAAGAAGCAGTTTTTTTCAATGAAAATCCAGTTTCTTATAAAACAGGTGAGAATCTCATATTACGCATTGCATGAATAACATGAAATGACAGAACTGCTGGTAATCACTGTGTCTATATTCTATCTACAAGTTGAAACTTAGTATTTGAGGGAAAGGGAGTGCGGAAATGCACTAAAAGTTTTTGGTCCAAACTATTTAACATAATTGACTACATCGGTGTTGACACACAGTTGCGCCACTGGTTAGTTTTACTTGGGGATAGAAACAGATCGAGGTTCTGAAACATTCTGTTCTTTTGAATACAGGCAGGATTCGGTTTACGCCAGGGTTAGGTTCCTGAGATTTCCGTCGTAAATTGAAGCAAAAATGTAATGGGAAAATATATCTAAATACATTAGGTTCGTTTCGAAGATTTTTAGTAATCAACATAAAATTCTTGAAAAATATCTTCTTTTATGAAATTCATGTATTGAAAATTGTATAATGTTTAAGAAAAGGAAAATTTACCGATTTAAAAACGTTAGAATAGATGTCTGTTTGGTTTTCTTCCTTTCTGATAATGAGTTATAGTATGGCTTTAGAACTGTATCAATTCCTCAATTAATGTAATTTGCTTTTCCTCGTCGCATTTTATATTCCATTTTTTGTTTAGTTATTTAAATTTTAGGTTTTAGTTTATCACTCAGTATTATAGTTTTATCACAATGTCGGGACCATCTGTGTCTAGGAAGTCGGGCAGAGTCATGACTCATCACCCACTCCAATCGTGATCTATGAGAGGCGTAAATTGAAGCGGCGTAAACTGAGTCCAACATGTACCAGATGATGGACAAAGTCCAAGAATTTAGTAATACCTAGTGTAAAAGACCATCGTCAGAACCCTTTAAAATAGCATAAAGTTTTATTTTAAATCACTCTTAAATCAGATATTACCCATTTCCAATAAAATAGCAAATCACACAGAAAACTAGTGAATTATATTAATCTCTCATCGACATCTACAACTTTTATTTCAAACATTTTTTATGTTGTTTGTGACTACTTAATGGAATGAAAAAACTAGTCTCTGCAGGATCACATGTAGTACATTTATCTTTCCAACAGAGTGCTGGTAACTGCTGCAAATGACCACCAAAACCAACAGGGGTATGTAACACAGCAAAGAATTTAAATGCAAAATGGTGCTAAAATAAAGCATTGTGCATGGTTTTATTTCAGAAAAAACTCATAAAATTGCATACAAGCCTTGTTGAACTGCATGACCAGATAATGAAATTAGGTGGAACAGATTTAGAAGTAGGCGATATTAAAATAGTTGCCTTCTCCCACACTCAACACAACAAGAAAACAGATGAAGTCAACCCGAATCCTGGTGTCAGCACAGTTAAGGGTAAGCCAAAGCCTTCATGATATTTCTTCATGGCATTTTCCAGAGAATAAATATTATATTTGATACAGTATTTTCAAGCTGTAGACTTGCTTGAATGAGTTCCCCATTTTTTTTTAAATTTTCTTCAGTAATCATTTACATAGTGAACCAGTCATGAATGAGCCACATGCTGAGTTATGAAGTCAGTCACTTAATGAGTTAAAAACAGCCAGTTTTCCTGCAAAATGACTGTGCATTAGTAACTGGTGAGTCAGTGAGTCACTATGTCTATTGGTCAGAAAGGCAGTGAGTCATCCACTAACCTGCTAATTCAGCCAGCATAATCTGTAGCCTCAAGCTTCCTGCAAACCAACCATGAGAGAAGGTCAATTATTTCTTTGTCTTTATCTGTGGTTCAATGTTTTACTTTCTTTCTAACTTGTTTCTTTCCTTCTCACATTCTTCTTTCATTCTTGCGTCATCAAATATGCCAGGGTCCATCCAGGCGAATGCCAGTATAGTACCTTAAAATAGGCCACATTCCTCGTCAGTTCATTGATAATTATGTAATTTGATGCTGTATAGTCTGCATTACTGACAGTATCATTGAAAGAATACAAAAAATAAATAGTTTTTCTTTGTTTCATGTCTTCTACTTACACTCATTTTTGATTTGTTTCTCTTTCTTTCTTTCTTTTCTCCTTCTCATTTCTTCTTCCTTAATTGTTCCTCCTGTTTTCCTTGTCTCAATTTCTTTTTCCCCACTTTCTTTCAGTTTTATTACTTTTTTGTTTCTTTATATTTCCTCTTACTTTTATTTCTCACTTAAAGTTTTGTTGGTTTGCTTCTTTCTGTCTTTCTTTCCTTTCTCATTTCTTCATTTATCTCCTCCTTTTTTTTCGTCTTTATTTTTCTTTCTTTATGGACCACACCTTCTACAAGACTGCAATCTTAAAACTATTGTTGTGCATGTAACAATGTTGCAGGTCATAACCTCCTTGGAAATCAGGACATAAATCTGACTGGGGAACCGCAGTCAATCACAGAGGAACTGAAGAGTAAGCAGGATAAGGACAGGGACTTGGAAGAGGTAACAACATTATTCTAATCCTTTTTGTGCCACACACAATATATCTGATTTGAAAGCGCTGACGATTGCACTCCACAGTTCATTTGGAATTTTGCATCAGCAAGGAAACATATCCCATATTCTGTCAAAATTTAAATGTGTAAATGTGGCGTGAGAAAAGAAATGATATGCTATCACAGAAATAACAAAACTGGAATTATGTACACTACGAAGTACACTGAAGTCCCGAATTCGTATAGTGGGTAAAGACGTCCCTGTGCTAAAACACTATGTGCTTGGAATTATCTCCACACATTAACCGCAATTTCTTTTGGAGGTGTGATCAGCTTCTGTAATGCCAGTAATGCATCCTGAGGCCCTAATTTCCATTAAGAACATTATCAAACAGATTAATAATATGAAATTGACACCTACAATGACACAAGGTTCATTTAAACAATACAGATGAGATAATTAAGAAGAGATAATTCACATGCCTCTTATGGTCGATAGAAAATTTTATGCTGCTGTGCAGAGCTGAAATTCTATGTTTCATGGTTATCATTTTAGGATAAAATTCTGTGTGTTTGCCTTTTATGCCCAATATATATATAATTAACCTCCTTAATTTACCTCTAAATCTTCATTCTCACATACAGAAATATTATGTCCCAGACAATGTTATTTACTTGTCAGATTTATTTATTATTTATACTAAGTGTTGATCTTCAAGACATTTCTTCATTCTTTGCTTTATGGCCTATCACATTCTGCTCACTGAAACAACATAACCATTCAATGAGGTAGAATTTTAATTTAAATACAGTGACGTAGGCTTGATTTTACTCTTCTAATTCACAAATAGCAACGTTTTATTTATATTTAACATTTGAAGGGTTTAGAGAATGCGCACGAATTAAGTGAATCAGAGCAAAACTTGTCTGCAAGAAAATTGGAAATTGCACAGCTTCCATCTCAGGTCGAAGTACCAGAAGGACAACTAACAAATGAAAAAAATTCAAATCACCTCAAGGGAGAGGAAGAAGTGACAGAACTGAAGGAGGAAAACGAAAAATCTGAATTGAGGTTTGTTTTGCATTTAATACATTTCCTCTTTTATCCTGCTCTCCTTCTATATAACATTATCCAAACTTTAATTATCTTCTTCCAAACCTAATTCCATTGCACAGATTTTGTTGAAAAGTCACAAATCTTGAGATCAAAAAAATATGTGTTATCGTGCATTGAAAAGTATCGCCACTGTATTCATAAAAGCCATAATTTCATTTAATTCTGAAATAATTTATTTAAGTTTACATCTTCATGCCATTCCTCTGTAAGTTTATTTTAAAATTTGAATCCTACTAACACTTACATCTCCCAAGAATGATCTGCATGTTTGGATATACAGATTAAAATATTATATGCATTTCTTATTTGCTACATACTTCAAGGATTACTCAAATAGGATCCTACATCTGTCAAGTAAACTAACCCTAAATACCTATGTTTATGGAACTAGAATCAAAAGGTTCAACACTGATAATATCAGAAACAGCCAGTAGATAGAGTCTGAGCCAGTTTAATCCCACTTATCCATCCAGTGTTTTTCCCTATGATCTAAATATCTACCTCGCTGCTACCATTTTAATCCTGCCCTTCCATCTACCTCTTGATTTTGCAAGAGGCCATCTTCAAAGAGGTTTCCCCATCGAATATTGTGTGCATCGATTGTTTTTCCCATAACAGTCTCCTAAATTTCACTATATTTGCAATGGTACATGTAAAAGTTTCAATGTTCTGCATTATATTGGTTTAAATGATTTCCAGTTCAGGATATTATATAATATCTTAAATTACACACTTACTTGATCACTCGTAGGTGGTTAGCACTTTATTTTCAAATACTTTTAATTTATATTCTTCCCAGAAGGTATGAAACACCACCATAAACCGGCTGGTGAATCATTATTTCTTCCAGCTCAGAAAAGGTTTTATATCTATAGCAGGGATGCCAACTATTCCTATATTTCGTCCCTCTAAGGTCAGTTTTACTATCCTCTGTTGTATATGCCTAGGTCTCTGAGTTCATCTGTCAGACAGAGAATTTGTATGTATTTTGTTTTCCGTATGTGTGCAGCCAATTTCATAATGCTCTAAATGATGAGAAAGAGAAGCATTGCAGAAATAACTTCGTGGCCGACAACAGTGGTCTCCTTCAGCAGACGCAAGTCAGAGAGCTTCAGCAACAGGTATGCCACAACAAGAAGTGAATTTCACAAATTATCACTTGAACAGCCTCTACATTTCAAGTGTTCACTCACAGTTTCTGTGTTCTGTAACAATATTTATCACAGTCTTCTTTCTTTCACTCCCTTTCTATTTTGTCTTCACTTCTCTCTGCATCCCTCACGTTCATTTGGCTCTTCTGAAAGTGGGTGACGTTTATAAATTGAGAAGTTCCTTCCTATGTTACATATTCTATTCCATGGTTACTTTAACCCTCATAGGGTCAGGCGTTTTACTAGACACTTAGTACCTGACGCTTATGAAATGTCCTCTTCTCACGAAGTAAGAAGCCAGATTTCACAGCCACACAAAAGTACAGGTAAAATTATGAAATATTTCAGTTTGTTCAAGAGGCTTGGCTACACTGCTTAAGCATTAAGCACTTCGTTTTGGTAGTGGGTCTGGTTGACCTACAGGCAAGTTAATTTTAAAACTTTAGTTTATTTCATGAAGTGCACTGAAATTCCTGAATAAACAGCATAGTTGAGTCATAACCCTTATACCACATCATTTAAATTTACTGTAGCGTGATATCACGAGATTAGTAATTTAAACACTCTTCGTACATCCCTTCGCTGTGTGCATGTAACATTTATTGCATTAAGTGACGTAAAAAAGCAGGTCTTGTGATAGCAGATTATTTACTTTCATGTAAAGAGCGAAAGGGGTGTGAAGTTGTTTGTGTGGCTAAGAAGCACACCATGAAGACATTTAAGTTTGAAAGGCTGTACGCTCTACACATTCTTAAATTTGATGCCTTCTGAAGATGTGGTGTCCCTTCCACAAACTGGTCACTTTACCACAGGAAAAGAACACCAGGTGTCCACTGGACAGGATGTTGGATTAGCTACTCAAAAACAGATTTGTGTCCAGTCTCTCCTGAAGCCTCAAGTTACGACATTATGAGATTGGCCAATTGAAACACTTTCCATGTACAGAGTTTTAATATATTCGGTGCTGTTGGTATTAATTACTTTTGCTGTTCTCTAAGGTGTGAGCCGATGTAAAACGCGAAATACAGAATACTTACACAAGTTTTATTCATTTTCAAGGCACAGAAAGATGTTCCAACAGAAGTGGATGAAACCAGAGATTTATCCTCAGTGGGTAAAGAAAGGAAGAGACTTTGGACTGATGTGTTCAGGATTAGAAAGTGGAAAATATGGAGAAGGAAGAACAATGTTTCCTAGCACTCTTCAACAGACAGTGAATTAGTCGCTAATAAATCGCAGGTGTAACTTCTGTTCAAACAGGGTTGGCACAGATACTTCCAAGACCAGTGGATGTTTAAATCTATAGAATGTTGTGATCTGTGTTTGTATAATTTTATAGTAATATCTCAGTGCAGCTTACTGCCGCCATGATCAGGGCGTTAAGTAAGCTGTGGATGAAAAATTGGGTTCAGATGCGGGAATTAGTTGAGCAGGTCAAGGCTGTCCTCATGACCACATAGAGGGACTTGAAAGTAAGGACGAATTCTACTGAATTCTTCCACTGGTAGGTAACTGATGACCTTCTGCTCAGTAGTGTGTAGAAGGCTGTCAGTTCTCTGTCAGAAGCAGCAGCCCTTGTTGGAATTCTGAAGAGCCACCATTAAACACAGCATTTACGTGCCCAAAGCAAAGGATTCTACATTGTCAGACCTGTTCCCATAACTCAACCATTTAGCATCCTGTGGATAGAGACAGTAAGCACCTACGAAACATCAGTGAAGTAATGCCAGACTTCATGGTGCAGCATCCCAGCAACCAGTCATCTAACTCAGTGGTTCCCAATGTTTTCCTATTTGCACGTAAGCAAAGATGCATGACGGTTTGTAACAACCACAACCATCTCTACGTCATATTGTACAAAGCAAATAATGATCAAAATAATAAAATTATTGTAAGCGTAACAAAATATGTTTATTTTCAAAAAGCTGTTCTTCTTCTTTTTCTTATTGCTTCCAATTTGCAAGGAACTGACCCAACTTTTTCAAAGTAATCTCGATAATTACACTTGTAGATTCTTCACTCCGTTTTCTTCCTAAGCGACGAAATGTCGTGAAATAATGGGGCTCGATTGGAAGACTGCTTCTCCAGTATCGGATGATCAGTTTGTGCCTCAAAAGCATCGCCACTTTTGGCGCTGCGTTGTAGCGTTTTTTAACCAGTGAGTTGAGAGTTAGTCGTAAAAATGACACGACTTTTTAATTTCAAGTGTAATTTGGTTCACAAGTGCGTTAAGAGCAGTGAGATATTTTTATCCGAGATTCGTCATTTCGTTGGCCACTGTCATCATATCTTTGTTTGAGTGCAACTGCAATTATAAAAAAACTGGAGATTGTGACCACTTATGACTTATGTCCCTCGTATAGGACCAGAAATATTACTAAATTACTAGAAAATAGTAATAAGATGAAATATCATACCATAACTAATTAATTTTTTGAGTAATGTTATATTTATACTCAAGGAACAAGAACTATTTTGTGACAGGACTTAAAATGTGTTTGAGGAGTTTGCTGAAGTTACTTTTAGGGCATGAAATAGACTTAAATATAAAATTATAATTTTGCATACAGTTCTACAGACAGAAATGAAGGCTTATTTTATAATCATTAGAGGCACAAAAACCTTTCTAATTAATGGACAATATTTACAATATTATGTCATCGCTTTGTCCTACATGTGTCTGGTAATGAGTTTAAACAACAGTTGCTATTCCACACGCGATTATAACTTCCCACTCTTTTGTCCTGTCAATGAATTTGTGTTCTGTGACAACAGATAAACCATTATAACTTAATTGAATCTATTGTGAAGTTTTCTTTAGTCCAATTTCTACCTAGGCAAATACATCGCTATCCTTTTATACCAATATCGTAGATTTGTTTGGAAAGATGGCTGAAGAAATAGTCGTGGTGTATTTTGTGAACGAACATATAATACGTGAATAATAACAATTTATTTACCATATGTATGTGATATATATATGTATAAAAGTAAATATTTCGTACTGTGAAGGTGTTAAAACGTTTTGTAACGCACGTGAAATAATATTTCCTTGTTCTGTGTGAGTTTTAAGTGTCCTTGATACTTAGTCCATTGTTTCTTGCAGAAAAGTAATGAAATTACTTGTAATGATCGGTCGTTGCTTTGTTTTGCTGCGTTTAAATAAGTCAATGAACGCGTTGACCGAATTCTGGAACTGGACATCAACGCGGTTAAATTTCAATAGGAGCCATAGACATTCCAATCTCGTATGTTCCTGGTTTTTCTCAGCATTTCCAGAAGTTCCCAATAATATCTTCAAGTAGAACATCACCGCCTTCCCTATCCTTACCACGTAAGCGTACTTCTGTGTCTTTGTTTCTCGATAAGAAAGGCTTAATCGAATGAAAGTTGCTTTCGACTTGCGTCCTTCTTACTGAGCCTAGTTTTCGACTCTTACATCGAAATTTGATGGAACGCCTTATACAATTTTCGAGGGGGGCATCTTATTTTTCGCATGAAAAATTGTGATTTAAAGCACCAGATCAGACGGTGATTATAATTGATTTAGAAATGGATTATCCTCCCGCCTAATTTACGAAACTTTTAAAAATCAAGGTGAAATTTCAGGTTCTCGCGGCGGCCGTTATAACAATGACTGTCTGCTACTATCTTGCGCCGTGTTGTCTGGTACACGCTTACCAACGTTTCAAAAAATAAACATAACCATTCTGCCACTCAATTTGTGTCACTGTAAATAGTGGTTTTTTAACTTTGTGGGTAAATACATTAATTAAAAGCGTTTTAAAGGTCTTTCGAGTAAAATATTTGAATATGAGACGGAAATAAGTTGTAAATTCTGCACAAGACATTACATAACGATGGTTTTTGTTGTTTATATGGGCCACGTATTATCGTCGACGTAACTTTGTGAAAGAGGTTACGAATTTGTAACTTTGATCTGAGGGGCGAAGAAAGCTTACAAAATTTTGACAGTGAAATCTCTGGACAAGCGGACACTTGGAAAACGTAGTAGGAAATTGTAGGATAATTTGAAGATGGAAATGTTTTATTTTTTATAAATTAAACAGATGTAAATATATACATATAATAGTACAGACTAATCACACACAGAGAACATTGGATCCACAAAGCAGTTCCGGGAATCTTTATCGGGTCTCTGCCCCACTTTCTAAGCCAGGAAAAGACCCGCCTAATTTAGTCCGAACAAGAAATGGAACGGACGTTAAGCGTCCGACCACCGAGCAGACACTGGCTCACTCTGTCTAGGATTTGAGGTTTTCACGGCATCTCTTCTGGATTGTTGCCCAGTGGGTCTGGTAAAAATTTACCGATGTCTCAGAGGTTTCTCCTGCCTCCATCATCAGGGCGATGAATACCTTGATGATGGATACAGCAAAGACCTCTTGAACTTCGGTAAACTTCTACCAGATTACACGTTGCAACAACCCAGAAGACAGCCATCTTCTGGCTCTCACTGGTCCCCGCATAACATAGCAAAACAGAGAAAGACCAGGGCACACTGTGACGGGGAAAAGTTAAGATTAGAACAGATATATAAAATCTGATACCGTGATACTTATAATACGATTCATAGAGAATAAATCGTGGCAGACCTGAGCAGAGATTTGTTATAATTTATTAAATAATTATAAATCTTGTAGCCTGTAAAGATGGTAAAACATGAAACGTATGCATTCTGTAACTCAGCACCCCTATTTATTAATCTGTAGATTCTTGAGGTGGTAAAAATGTGTGTGTGAACGTCACAGTTACAACAAACATCAAGTGTCTGTAAACTTTAGGCCTGTAAATACAGGCAACTCTCGGTTTAAGAACGTTCGATTTACGAACATTCGCTATAACGAACGTCACAACTCATTCAAAATTTCTTAAAGTCGCCAATAGATAGAGATCCTTATAAAACGAAATGCTAAACGTATAGTGAACATAATTGTAAGATTTAAATAAATAAACTTTTAAAAATGTATTTATTACAATAATTATCATAAAATTATTATATGATAATAATACTGAACTGTTAATAAAACTAATTTAGTCAGTAAAAAATGTTGGTTTACATGCCACGCCGCGTAGAATGTTTTCTCGTGGGAAAGAAATCGGTGATTCCTCTTATTATAATATATAATAATATCGTAAAAGCTCAGGAATGCAAGATACACATAACGAACAACGTCTTGGAACGGAACTCGTTTGTAAACCGAGAGTTGCCCGTAGAACAATCTAAGTAATCACGTGATATTCTACGTAAGAAACGGAATTACTGTTGGGGCCCTTCTTTACCGTAGTTGGTACTTAAATCGCCAATGTTGGTACTGCCAGGATTGAAGTGTATCTGTATTTTTGTATTTTCTGGAGTGACGTTTTGATCAGGAGACGATTCGGAGTCCATGTCAGTACGTTCTCCTTCTATAGCTGCGATACAAAGATATTTAATCTGGTTTTCCATGTCTCTAAGAAGAACATCTTTCTCCAGCTCCCTCACGTTGGAATGATGAATATCGTTCTTCAACTTTCTTACACAATCCATGAGCTTCCCATACTCACTTTCCATTTCTGTAAACATCTCAACTTCCTCCGCCATCTGCTGTTTAGCTTTGTAACTATTATCATCATACTTCAAAGTTTTTATACAGTCTGTTAGCTCTTTATTTCGGCTCTGCATATCTTCCATAGCCTTATCCTGCTCCAGAAACTTCTCCTTAGCTTCAATAGCTTCATTCTCTAGTCTCCTGATGTATTCAGACAAATTTTTAATTTTTCCCTCCAGACGTGTTATAACCTCAATCTGCTCCTTCTCCGCCATCTTATTGTCTCTAATAACTCGTTCCAAGCTTCTGATACGTCGTAGTTGTCTCTTATGTTGACTGTCCGCATCCTTGATAATTTCGTCTTGATCCCTCTCCCTCTGTTGGTACTGAGTAATCTCTTCTTGTAACTTTGTTATATATTCCTGCATCGCCTCATTTTCGCACTTAATTTGTTTAATTATATCGTTCTGGTCCAACTGCTTCTGTTTATACTCGAAAAGCTGAAGTTTGTGAAGTCTCAAAATGCTTTCCTTCTTAACAAAGGCTTGACTACAATCGACGACTCGAGTCTGAAGTTGTATCTGCGAAACATTGCAACCAGTCAGAAACAAATTGTCGTATTAAAACAAAAATCAAACACTTTTCGTATTAAATAACTGGATGACAGAGAAAAAGATACACTAAAGCAATTTTTCAACAGTGATTCTCAACTGTCTGCTGCTTTAGGCGCTCGATAAAAATAATACGAGGGTCGCTCATTAAGTAATGCCCCACATTTTTTTCCTCAGAACATATTTATTCAAGATGACTCAAATTTAGTGACAATATAAATCAATGTTTCCTTTACACATACTATTTTTCCACATAGTCCCCATCAAAGGGTGGATGGGGCAGCACCGTTCAACCAAATTTGGTGATTTCTTCCCGGGTTCTCAGACTTGTGTGAGGGCGTGCATTGTCGTGCAGGAGCAAAATTTCTGCTGGATGCTTGTGAGGCCGAACTCGTCGAAAACGCTTCTTGAGGGTTTTCAGGGTCCTGATGTACGCGTCTGAATTGATGGTCGCACCTCTTGGCATCACATCCACAAGAATGACCCCATCACTGTCCCAAAAGACAGTCATCATGACTTTTCCGGCGGAGGGAGTTGTCTTGGATTTCTTCTTTCTCGGTGATTGAGGCTGATGCCACTCCATTGACTGCCTTTTTGTCTCTGGCTCAAAGTGGTGTATCCAGGTTTCGTCACCTGTAATGATCCGGGACAGAAAGACCTCTCCCTCAGCATCAAAACGCTCCAACAATTCAGAAGAAATCGTTTTCCTTTGAATCCTGTGGTCTGCTGTGAGACTTCGTGGAACCCATCTTGCGCACACCTTCGAATATGCGAGAGCCTGGATAATTGCAATCACACTTCCATTGCTGACTGAAAGCTGTTGGGCCAATTGTCGAGTTGTGATGCGCCGATCCTCACGAATAATGGCATCCGCGCGGTTCAACATGTCTGGAGTGGTGACTGTGACAGGACGCCCAGAGCGCGGCAGATCACGGAGCTCGGTTTCTTCACTTCCTGAAGCTTTAACTCTCTTAGCCCAGCGACCAACGGTGCTCCTATCGACTGCACAGCTTCCATACACAGCACACCAACGTTTATGAATGTTCACCACCGTTTCTTTTTCAGCAACAAGGAATTCAATTACAGCTCGTTGCTTGTACCGAGAGTCGTTCACAGACGCCATTTTAACAGTTCACTACAGCTCCGCTATCGGTTGGAATCATTTGAAACTCCGTACACGAACGCGGGAAACATCAAATCTCAAGCATGTAAAAGTACACTTTTCTATCTTCATTATTGGCTGAGAAAAAAAATGTGGGGCATTACTTAATGAGCGACCCTCGTAATAATAATTATCATTGTTATTATCTGTGGCTCTACAGCCCGTCACGAGCCTTGGTCTTCTCCTATATGGGAGGTCACTTGATGTAGTTGTACATTTTGAGGGGCGAGTGATCAGCTCGTTGTTCGATGATTAGAATAGAGAACTAAAATATTTTAAGAGTACGCCTGTCTTTAAGCAGAGCCATTAATTGTATTAAATAGTAAAAATTTCCTTTAAAAAGACGAAGTTTTAATACAGATATGAATTCCAGATTAATAAATGCAGAAGTTTCCTTCCTTTTTGTAATTGTACCTCCCTCAGATTAGCGTAGACTTTATCGGACTTCACCTCTCTTCGTGTGTGGCGAAAAGAACGCCTAGACCAGTTCTTCAAATTTAAAATCAATATATTTTAGGTTTATAAAGTAGGCGATGTGAAGACTCGATGTGGGTTTATATGGTAATTCCCACTTAAGAGTGTACCATAAAAGAATCAACTTTTCTGGGAAGAGAGGAAAGCAAAACTGTATTATAGTTTACCATTACTTTATTGTTAATCCTTGAATTAACGGAATAAACTGGCTAAGAGAGTCTGGGCATTATGAGAGGGAAGATGGGATAGGTTGGTTCTTTTCTGAAGCTTGTTCATATATTTATGTCTGATTTCGATATTTTGTCAGACGAGTAAAAGCCGGTTGATCAGAGGGTACTACAAACATTTTCAAAATTTTGTAACTTTCAGGTTGGTGGTAATAAGCATACACGCCCAAAAATGTGCAGGATTAACTTACAAATGAATCTATGACAAGTAATGTTTCTGCAGTACTTAAACTCCGCCAAAGCTAACTTTCGTCATACGACGAAAAATTTCAAGTTTACACGTCGGTGAACATGACGTTGGCTGTTTTCTGGATCGTAGCGCCGTGTAGTCTGGTATAATTAAGTTTACCATCGTTCTTGAGGTAGTTTCAGAATCACTAGAAAGCTTCTACCATCCTACACGGTGTTACAACCCAGAAGACAACCGCCTTTCTTCCTATCTTACTCACTCCTTCATAATACAGACTTTATTTCTCCCTCAGGACTCCGTTAAATTCCTCTATTTACTGATACACGATCTGCAGATGATAGAATGAAGTGGCTTACCTGTGTGTCCTCAGACTTGGATGACGGCGAGATAAAAGGGTTCTTCAGTCGCTCTACAAGCATTTCCGTTTCCTCTGCTGCACCACGCAGATCATGCGTCGGCTGGCTAGCTATACTGACGTCCACGTAGGTCACTTGTTCACGCTGCGCCTTGATGACGTCCCTTTCTGCTGACAAGATGGCTACCTGCGTGCGCAACGCTAGCAAAGCTTCTTCAATACTTAAATCCTCACAGAATTCAGCTTGTATTCTGTTACGTTCAGATATCATTTCATCCATTTTTACTTTCATTGAATTGCACTCAATACTTAATACATCAGCTTCAACATCTCTGGCAGAGATTCTTTCGACTTCCTCCTTCAGGTCCTCGATTTCTGATAACAGCGACTCTATGGTTTTGTTCATCTCCAGCGACTGCCGCATTAGTCTACCATTTTCTTCAACAAAATCATCATGACTTAACTTCAAGACGTCCCTTTCAGCTGACAAAATAACCACCTCCTTGCGCATTGCGAGCAAAGATTCTTCGACACTTAAATCATCACAGAATTCAGCTTGTATTTTGTTACGTTCATTTAGCATTAAATCCAAGTTTACTCTTATTGAATTGCACTCATTTCTTAATGTATCAGCATCAAATTCTCTAGCAGAAGCACTTACGTATTCCTGCATAAGGACCTCAATCTCTGATAACAGCGACTCTACGGTTTTGTTCATTTCCAGCGAATGCCGTTTTAGTCTATCATTTTCTTCAACAATATCATCATGACTTGTCTTCAAGACGTCCTTTTCTGCTGAAATGATGGCTACTTTCTTCCGATTTGCGAGAAAAGTTTCATCGATACTTAAATCATCACAGAATTCAGATTGTATTTTGTTACGTTCAGTTACCATTTCATCCACTTCTCCTCTTATTGAATAGCACTCAATTCTTAATGTATTAGCATCAACTTCTCTGGCAGAAGATCTTTCGAATTCCTCCTTCAGGTCCTCAATCTCTGATAACAGCGACTCTACGGTTTTGTTCATTTCCAGCGACTGCCGTTTTAGTCTATCATTTTCTTCAACAATATCATCATGACTTGTCTTCAAGACGTCCCTTTCTGCTGAAATGATGGCTATTTTCTTCCGATTTGCGAGAAAAGTTTCTTCTATACTTAAATCATCACAGAATTCAGATTGTATTGTGTTTCGTTCAGTTACCATCTCATCCATCTTTCCTTTTATTGAATGGCACTCAATTCTTAATGTATTAGCATTGCCGTTTTAGTCTATC